TGACCGGGAATCATGAAGTGGCGACCTCAACACCGCAATGCATGCATATCGCAAGAACCTTTTTCAAAGACCTGTTTACCTCCAGATGCGCCAGACGGGAGGAGGCCGCTAGAGAAAAAGAGATAGCAGAATTTTTAGAGCCAATGAGGAAGACCCTGTCGAACCAGCAAAGAGAACAACTGGACAAGCCCCTATCCAAGGAGGAAATCTGGACAGCCCTGAAACAGATGGATGAGGAAAAAACTCCGGGTGTGGACGGGTTTCCAAAGGAATTTTGGGAATCATTTTGGACATTAATGGCCCCGGACCTCATGGGATTCTACCATCACATGTGGGAAACAGGGCGCATGGCGGAGCTGGTAGGACAAGGGGTCCTCACCCTGCTACAAAAAAAGGCGACCGGATGGACATTAAAAACTATCGCCCGATAACCCTACTCACAGTCATCTATAAAATGTTAGCTAAGGCCTTGGCGAACCGTCTGATCCCGGTCTTGGCAGATATTATCCACCCGACACAGACTGGGTTTATCAAGGGACGCCGGATTCACGACAACATTTTGCTGGTCAATAAGATCCTCAAGTTAACGAGGCAGGACAAAAGCAACGCTGTCGTGGTCTTCATCGACTTCGAAAAAGCATACGACCACGTGGACTGGACCTTCTTAGATAGGTGCATGCAGAAAAGGAATACTGGGCCAATCTTCTGTCGCTGGACTGAGATTCTTTCATCACAACGCTACGACGAGCGTCCAGGTCAACGGACGGATGGCACCAGTAATCTCGCTGTAACGGTCGGTCCGCCAAGGAGACCCCTTCCTTTTTATCATTGTGATGGAGGCATTGGCAGCGAACCTCCGTACCAACAAAGATCTCAAGAAGTTACAGATTTTTGCCATCCCTGAGGAGGCAATCCCCGTATGTTCGATGTTCGCAGACGACCTAACAGTACTGGTGGACGCCACCCCCGAGACCATGGAAGAGATTAAACATTTGTTGGACCGATTCACGACAGTTTCGGATATGACGGTCAATTGGGGGAATAAAACACTGGGATGGTGGATCCACCACCAAGGAGTGCGTCCGGCGGAACAGCCGCAGGTGAAATGGCTCCCGAAAAACGCCCCGGTCTGAGTATTGGGCATAATGATGACGACATCGGGGAAACCAGCATCAAACGACGAATGGATCCTTAAACCGGCATTGGAAAAACTGCCACAGTGGAACGACAAGCAGACATCCTTGATTGGTAGAGCACTGGCAATTAACAACGCAGTCTTAGCAGCTCTCTGGTATAGATCGGCCCTTTGGGCCCTCAGTAAAGACGGGGTTAGATCACTAAAGAGGCAAAGTGTCGCCCTGTTGTGGAGAGGTAACAGCGAACTCCCAAACGTCATAAGTAGAGTGGCTTGGTCATCAGTGATCCAGCCCAAAGACAAACGGGGCTTGGGCATCCTGGACCCAGCCATCCAGGTAGCCGCTCTGATGGTGCAATGGGTCAGACGACTCGTACTTACGCCGGACCTTCCCTGGTACTCTCTCGCTCTTGAACAAATTGCTAGATTAGCACCACAAGCCCCACGAGGTCTGGATCCCCTAACCTGGCTCGAGGACCGATATTGGACCATACCGCGGCGCCCTCAGGTCAACAGAGACTCCACTCGTGGAGCGGCGAGGAGCGACCTGGCCAAAGATGATTTCTGGCCCCGAGTGTTGAAGGCCTGGTGCCAACTCCCACTGCCAGAAAAAAACACGCCGAACAGATGGGAAGAAGTGATGAGGCAACTCCTCTTCGGCAACAGAAACATCACTGATAGAAATGGTAGGGTACACCGCAGTTTGGACCCCCCGTGGAGCAGCTGGGTCAGAAATGGTATAGTAAGGATCAAGGACATATGGGACCCGGCGAGTAGAGACTGGAAGACCGTGTCACAGTTGAGGGTTCAAATGAGGTATTGTCACGACATCGAAAAGAATCTAGAAACCCTGATCTTTGACATTCCTCTTGACTGAGTATGCACCCTTCGAAAAGGACTGCGGCTAGTGACAGGAGATTGAGTCGCAGCCCCGGAAGACACGCGAAGTGTTGGCAGGGTGGTGGATGTGCGGGCATACGAATCCCAGGTCGAACTCTTCCATAAGGGAAAGGACAACATTCTCACCTTGCACTACCCGGATACAGTAAAGTGGTGGAAGAATGAAGAGTTGCACAAAATCCGGGTACTGGGACACAAAGACGAATGGATTGCATATCGCCCCGGCTCCCCCCTTGCTGAACTCTCCTTCGATCCGGCGGAGTGGTGCTGGACGCCTGCACGCAGAACACAAGCCAATCCGAACATAAACCTCCTGGGTCTGTCCGTGAAGGCCACCTACCGGCTGCTGAGGCCAAAAGTGATTCTTAAAGAGGTAGTAAAAGCCCGCTGGATAGCCCACCTGAACTTAAATCAGGGGAACGTACGCCCGATTCGGTGGTTCTCAACCATGAGATCCAAACCCGCCAAATTTGTGTCGTTGCAGTGGCAGATAGAGCACCGCTGCCTTCCGACAAATAATTGGTTGATAGATCGTACGTTCCTGGAGCAGAAGGGTCTGGCGCTCCCCTGCTGCAGATCCTGCCAAAATGCCTTCCCCTCCCGAAAGATCCCGGAAACTATTGAGCACATCTTCCTGCAGTGCCCGGGGGCGGTCCTCACTTGGCGCTGGTGGGATAGGATATGGAGCCTCCTGGGCACTGGATCGAACTGGCCGTGGGATTGGAGGGCACTCCTTTGCGAAGCGTGGACCTCCCCCACGGACAGTGAGTTTGAAAATAATATGCTTAAAATAGGGAGGAGAGCGGTAATTAGGGCACTTTGGAGGAAGCGCTGCACCTTCACCATCGAGGGGGTCCGTATGGAGGGAGAGGAAGTAACGAAAATAATTAAACAGTATATACAACAAGAACTCCTCTCCCAATGGCAGAAGGTAAAGAACCAATTACAGAAGCATCACCTAAAGAAAGACATCATACAAGCAATAAACCATTGCTCAAGGGACTGGCTGGGCAGCGAAAATGGGGGCAGAATCGCCTACACCCGATAGGAGGGCGGACAGTCTCCCGGGCAGGAACAGGTGGACTTCAAGAGAGACTACGACATCTTCTTCAAAGATTGGACTAAAGTGGACCAAGGCGTGC